CCTGTCTTTCTGTTTCAGATGTTCCTGCTCTCTTCCTGACTCCTCGCTCAGGTTCTACTTCCTCTCTGATGTTTGTCTGCTAAATGACTTGGTGTTAAACTTCATCTTTATTTTTGGTGTCTTGCTGCGTCTCCTCCTGAAGTGAAACCACAAGAAGACGCTTTTCCTTTTCCCTCTGAGAGCGATCTTTATGTGTCACAACGTGCAGCGACACACGGCCTGTAAACTGGACTGAACTTTATTTCAACGCTACACTCACCAGAGGCCACACGATGCGACATCATCACAATACGATTTTAAACATTTTGCAATATGCTGAGAAATGAGATGCAAGATTGAAATAAATCTTTTTTAACTGCATTTTATGTCAACAAAATTAGGCAAAATGAAGAACTGTTTTATCAAATAAGAAAACCTTCTCAGTCTCTTCATGTCACTTCAGTCTTTTTATTTCTCCACCCGGGGAGTCGAGTCCCTGTCAGAGTCTGCACGCTCCCCCTCACAATCTGACCTGTTGATGTTTCAGTCTGCTCCAACTGAGCTGAACACAAACATGAACGGACAACAGAACGACTGCTGACTTTTTTAACAATCCAACTTCAAAATGAATACTGCAACCCCTTCAGCAACACAGAATTAAAAAGTGTATTTGCTATAAATATAACAAATATCGATATTTGGCGGCCATGAGACGATATAATATCAGGATACTGTGTCGTATCGATGTTTCCTCACCTCTAAAACTCATATTAAATATTTTGTGTCACATGTCCGGCAGTTGCAGCTGTTTTATGCTACCAGGCCTTTAAAGCTATTTTATTATTAAGGACTTTATCAGGAATATGTTTGCAGCTCTGAATTCTTCTGACATGAATTCTGATGAGTTGAAATAACCCGACAGAAATTAGAGCACATCGAGGACAGCGGAGGTGAATCAGTGAGTTCTGGAGACGATGTTTTCATGCAGCTCAAAGACGTCCTCTGTGATTTATTCAAAATGTAATACTGAATAAAGAAAGGAGAAGTTTACAAAATATGCTGCTGTGTCATTCATCACTCTGTTTCTGTTTCCATCGACGCTCTCTCTGCTTGTTTCTTTTCTGGATCAACTTTGAATCTTCTCAAAATGCTTAAAGTCAGCAGCATCACTAAAATCTAAACCACTACGAGGTTAACAATGAGAGAAACAACATTCTAACTTTATTTATGTCACACCTTTAAAATCAGATGTTTACACACGGCTTTGACGGACGAGGTAAAGACAAAGACGATAAACATGAAGAGTCCGACCAAACACAGAGGAGTCGACAGGAATAATAGAATTACAAATAAGGGAATCAACAGCAGGCAGGAGTCAAGAGGCTGTTAGAGGTACAGAGCAGGAGAATTAAATACAAGATGAAGAAGTCGACAAGACAGTGAGAAAAATACAAACATGAAGAAGAAGAAGAGGAAGGAGACGACTTCTCATCACAGGAAATAAAACAGAATGAAGAAGAGGGAGAATAAAAGAGAGATGGTTTAAATAAATGCATCAAAGCAACAGAAGAGAAAAAGATTGAAAGAAGGAGCGGGGATGGAGAGAGCAGAGCGCTGACACAGGGAGCTCAGTCTGCAGGGAGCGGGCTGGATGTTTATTCTTCACACTCTTTTGTAAACTGAAGTATTTGAGAGCTCCTTCTTTATGATATCCTTCATTGTTTGTACTTATTCTTCTCCTCTCTTTTACTCTTTTATGAATGGAGCCTTTTCCTGCCTGCAAAATAAAATGCTCGATAACAATATCAGAGGAAAATAAGGAGTGAGTGAGAGGTAATAAAAATATGTGATTATGGAATTTAAAAGGAGATGTTTCATTGTTTTGTTAAATTTGTTAAAGGGGTCGGGTTCTTTTTGGAAGTGTGTGAGACGCTTGTTGTCAGTAATAAATGAATTAGTTTCACCGGTTCAGGTCCCGATGCAGACAAAAATATGGACGTTGGTCTGGTAGCTGGAGGTGCCAGGTCACTTCCTGAGGACTACAAAAGGAGCCCTTGAGCAAGGCACTGAACCCCAAACACCTCTGCCACTCTCCCTGTTTAACAGCCTCTCTCTGACATCTCTACATTTATAAATGTCCACAGTTTCCTGTTTGTTCATGTGTGTGTGTGTGTGTGTGTGTCAGACCGTTGAGTGTGAACTCATGAACAGAGTGTGAAACAGACTTTCCCCTCAGGTGTTAATAAAGAATGTAAATTAATGAATTACTTAAAAGGTAAAACATTAGAAGAAGAAGTAAGAAAGGATGAAAAGATTCAGAGATATAAAGTGAATAAAGGATGAATAAGAACATAAACCTGCAAACATGCAGCTTTCTTAAACCCCCCACCCCCACTCCCACCCCCCATCATGCCTCTCCCTCTGAAATGTACGAGAAATATTTACAGTAAGTCAGGAAACACAGATGAATAGAATAAAGGAAATAAAACAATAGGATGGTGAAAAGGAAATGGTAGGGGTTGAGTCAGAGAGAGGATGTGAGCTGCAGGGGCAACAACTGGGTGAGCTTTACTTCATGAGAAACGCTGAAGGGGGGGTCAAGTATTCAGTTCGTGTGACGTCATGCCAACGTTCAAATAGATACAAATAATGTGTATCAAAATCCAAAATGGCGGTGATAAAGATCATATTTTATTCATGTTTATTAGAGTTTGAGGTGATTTTTATTTTGATGAAAATAGTTTTTTTAAGGAATATTTTAAAAGTGTGTTCATGAACTTTTAAAAGAAGGAAAATGTTGATTCTAGACCCTGAACATGTGATGGATCCTGAGACTCTAAATTAGAGGAACACAGGTGTTACTTTATTTACAGAGAGAGAGAACAGCAATTAATACATTTTCCAAAATATGTAAACATGTCTGCGCAATTACGGGTTCAACCTTCACGTGACCGGATGAAGTCCTTAATATGATCCACAAATCATGTGATATCATCATATTTTAATTCTACCTGCTCAGATCATTTCCACCATGTTGTTTGTTTTCTGTCTTTTCTTTAACGGAACTTTAGATCCATAATAATAATAATTAAGACACAATGACGTCATACTCTGCAGGATGAAAGGTAAACCTTCCGCAGGTTTTCTGCAGCACCAACAGTGACCTGCTCATTATAATTATTACTATGAGCTGCTCCCTTCAGAGTGTGAAATTAATGATGCATTAAAGTGAAAGCAGCTTGAAGTGTCGGAGCAGCTGCAGGTGGTGTAACCTTTTTTCATTTTTTTATTTCTTACACCAACATCTTAAAACTCGCAGTGGTGTATCGTGGGGCCTGAAGTGGGTACACTCTTTTTTTCTGCTTTTTACCCCATTTTTTTTTTTTGTGTGTGTATGTCATGCTGCAGAGGATAAACAGCATCTGTGACATGCACAACTGCTCTTGCATATTTAATAAGTGTTGAGCAGCCAATTAGAGACAGAGAAAGGAGGCTCATCCCTTTACCGTCCTATGAAAAAAAATTGCAGCATACTACTTAATATTGTTAATCAATTATTGGTGTTAATCAGAAGAGATTTAGAAGTGATTATACCACATGGAAACTGAAAAATAAATGTGTATACTCTGTATACCTGCCTATACTCTGCACTACACCTACATGGGGGGATATTTCCGTGCAGAGTCTGTGCGTGCATGCGTTAGACTCAGGGACATGAAGTAGAGACTGATGATTATTTATTATAACGCGGGGCTCACGCAGAGATATGCAGCAGCAGCAGCAGCAGCAGGGCCGAGCTGTAAACAGAGAGCCGAGCAGGAGAGCTTTTATGGAATAACATGTTAAGCCTGCATGCTGCACGGTGACACCCCCTGATTTATGGCTGTATTTAGATAAGACCCCGCCGTAAATGGTTTCTAAATCGCGTCAAGGTCATGTAATGTAATGGGATAATGTTTTTTAAGGCGATGGAGATAAGATGACGTGTTTAGTGTGTGAGGAGCTGTGGGGAATTAATGCGCAGATAAAGGCCCCTTTTTTAAATAATACTGTTGAGGTTATAACGACAACAGGCCGCGGACTGATGCGAATAATTCATCAAACTGTTCACGTCTCAGAGAGCTCTGACACATACCTGGTGTTATTACTGGAGGAGCACGGACTGATAATATGAACACAAACGAGCATTACGCCTTTGAGAAAATATTAAAACCAAACTAAATCTGTATCCACGCTTTGAGCTGAAGGAGCAGAGAAGATAAACAGTGTTTCTAAACACATTTTAAGAAGAAAAAAAAATAGTTCATGGATTTAAGATGACCTATCATGTTTCTTATATCCTTATTTTGTTGGTTTCTCGAAACGGCATCCGTGTAATAGCAGACTATATGAGACATTTAATTCGTTAAAAATTTATTATAAAAAGGTTTTAGGGATAATTCTGCAATATGACCTTTAGATTGTGCCTGCTTTATTTATTTTCTCAGAGGTATTTTAATGCGCAAAGGACTGTTTCAGCCAAAATGTTTTCTTGAATTCTGCGCCACTTAAACTCAATTCTAAAATGGGATTTACGGATTTTAAATTCATGCTGAATTTATAAAATTACCCTTCACATTATTAACCAAAGATTTGGCAAATTAAAATTAAAGAAAGAAGATGTTTACCCCTCTGATTTAAAAAAAACGGAACTCAATTAGAAGCCTGTGACAACCAGAGTGTGCGTAATTCTGTGCGTAAATTCTGTCCAAAACCAAACATGACAGTCCAGTTGAAAATGATTATTTTCTCACAGGTAAACTTCTATCTTCTTTCTTATTTGTGTACGTTTGCGTAGAGTGCAACTGACTCCAACAAGCAGAGATTTGCTTCTCGTGTATAGTGCTGAGAGACTTTGGCACCATGGCGCATATTACTGCAAACATCTCCGGACACTCCTCCCCATCCCAGGCGCTCTCCTCTATTGGCTGCCTCCTCTCCACGCTGACATCCAAACCATATAAACCTGGGGGCCTCACACCTTCTCCGGGGTCAAATTTCTTTTGGCAAATCAGAGCAGCCTCTCCGGGAATCCAAAGAAACACAAGTGGAGCCTCGAACTGCGCCGAGATCCGTCTCTGGATTTATAAAGTTTTTGCGGCCTGTTTCTCCCCGACTGAAGTCGCTTTCACGCTGATGACGATGTTAATGTTGGTGGCTTTGGTCGGCACGAGAGGTTAAAGCATTGAAGGAAATACATGTTTGAGTGTTGAATGATCTCGGTTGGCTGCAGATCCCCGAGCAGAGAGCGTTTTGGGGCGGCAGCAGAGGCAGACCGAGAGCGAAGGAAAACACGGAAACGAACAGATTTGTCACGCAGCTCAACATGAACCTGATCGGGGGCTACCAGCATCACCACCACCTGATGCACGAGCCCTTCCCGTTCGTCCAGCGGTGTCACCAGGATGCACCCTACTTCCAGAGCTGGGTGGTGAACCACGGAGAGGTGCCGCCGGACTTCCAGATCCAGGCGCCCTACCAGGCGGCGGAGCTCGGACCGCCTGGAGCGACGCACGACGCCCGGCTGGAGGGCGCGCAGGCCGGGATGGGGAAGAGGAGAACGTCGGGGCCGAAGAAGGAGCGCCGGAGGACGGAGAGCATCAACACAGCGTTCGCCGAGCTGCGGGAGTGCATCCCCAACGTCCCCGCGGACACCAAACTGTCGAAAATTAAAACTTTACGCCTGGCGACCAGTTACATCGCCTACCTGATGGACGTGCTGGCCAAAGACTCCGGGGAGACGGAGGGCTTCAAGGCCGAGATTAAGAAATTTGAAAACAGGGATCTGAAACGGAAACGGGAGCCGGTGAGTAAAGACTCAAAATGTATTTAAATGCAAATACCACAAATAAAAAAGACAAACTGAAGTTAAAGAGTCATTTTAAAATAACTGGAGGAGAGATTCAGTTTGAATGAAATTATTTTATGTGAAGGTGGAATATTTGGACATTTAGTGAATTAGCTTTAGATAAATAAGTCTGAACTTCATTTTTAAAATGTTACATTTATATTTAAGATCTTTTTTGTCTGAGAGGTAGCCAACTTAAATAAAACAAACATACATTTTTCACATCCAACATGTGTCTGTTATATTAAATATTGTTTTGTTGTCGTTTATGATTCGAGTTATTTTCTTCATGATGGAGCTGCTTTATTCTCTTCATCAGCGCATTACTGCATAGGCTGTTAGCTTTAATATTTAATTTATAATATTTATTTATTTTGTATTTAACCAGGAAAGACAAAAGGAAAAAAATGAGATTAAAAACCTATTCTTCAAGAGTGTCCTGGCCGAGACAGTTTCACACAAACAACGAGCAGCCAAACATTCAAACACAAAAATCCATCACAGACATTAAAATACACAAATAACAAATCTGAACAGCAAATGTTTGTCAAGATCATCCACAAATACATCAGGGAGAACATCTACAGCCAGATGTGTCCACCTCCAAATCATTTAACTTCCTCTTAAAATCAGCGAGAGAAGATCATTAAGTTTCAGCTCTTTTTGTAATTCGTTGAGAGTAAAGGAAGCAACAAACTTCAGCGCCTTTCCCCACAGCTCCGTTCTGACTGAAGAGTGCAGAATAAACCGGAGTGCAGGGTTCCTTTATGCACAAAATAATCTGCCTAATAAATCTGATTCTGAGCTCACCGCTCTGCTGAACGTGACACATTTATTTAACCACTTATTTTTTAAAGTGCAAAATTAAAAAATGTCAGTTTCTTTTTTGTATATTCACACATTTTAAAATTTTCACACGCAGTTAAATTGCACCGTGATATTTTTGAATGTGACGTAACAACCTGCATTAACACCCCGGATGTTTCTAAATTATTAATCATAATTTAAATTAAAATGCACGAGCTGAATACACAAATTAAAACAGTAAAAACGGAAGATATAAATGTTCATAAAGTTTATTTTGTCAACTTAACACACCAACAAAAACATCCTGGCTGATCAAATTAAAATGACGCTTTTGTTTTGATGTTAATATATTTATTATATGAGCCTATATTTATGAATTATAAATGTTCTATTTAGATTTTTTTTACACAGATTCAGGAATAAATAAAACATTAATGTCCTAATCAAATGACATTGTTGTTGTTTTTGCATTATCAAAACGCTTTCAGGCTGCAGATTGAAATAAACTCAATTATTTTATATAATATTCTAAAGTTTAGGATGAAGGTTGAATGTTTCACTGACTTTCACTTTATTAAAAAGCTGTGATGTCATGATGCCAAAAACAGCACGTACACAAAATATTACTATTTAGAACTTTTTCTGACTGTCAGAGGAGGTCGACTTATTTGATCAGCACGTGGAGAAATATCACAGGAAATGATGCAATATTCAATAAAACAAAAATGACAGTCAGATGATGAGATGAGGTCCCTGGACTTGTTATGACGTAACTATTATTATATTATATAAATGATGTTATGGTGCGTTTGGTGTCCTTCATAAAATTGTGATGTTATGTTGTGTTTAGTGGACTTGGTGTTGTGGTGTGTTTGGTCATGGGGCTTTTTGTGTCCTTAAAATAAGAGTGGTGTTATGGTGTGTTTGGTGTGTTTGGTGTTATGGTGTGTTTGGTGTGCGTGGTGTTATGGTGTGTTTGGTGTGCGTGGTGTTATGGTGTGTTTGGTGTGCGTGGTGTTATGGTGTGTTTGGTGTGCGTGGTGTTATGGTGTGTTTGGTGTGTTTGGTGTGCGTGGTGTTATAGTGTGTTTGGTGTGCGTGGTGTTATGGTGTGTTTGGTGTGCGTGGTGTTATGGTGTGTTTGGTGTGCGTGGTGTTATGGTGTGTTTGGTGTGCGTGGTGTTATGGTGTGTTTGGTGTGCGTGGTGTTATGGTGTGTTTGGTGTGCGTGGTGTTATGGTGTGTTTGGTGTGCGTGGTGTTATGGTGTGTTTGGTGTGCGTGGTGTTATGGTGTGTTTGGTGTGCGTGGTGTTATGGTGTGTTTGGCGTCCTTGATAATAGTCAGTTATCTAATGGTTTTTATAAATGTGTAGATACATATCGCAGGAAGTGATGCAATATCCAGTAACCAATAAATAAATACAGTTAGACATGAGGTCCCTGGACTTGTTATGACGTAACATTATATGGGCGATGTTATGGTGCATTTGGTGTCCATAATAATATGTATGCTATGGTGTGTTTTGTGTCCTTTATAATATGTGTGGTGTTACGGTGTGTTTGGTGTCTTGTTAATATGTGTGTGTAATGTGTGTTTAGGCTGACGGGCTGCAGGAGACGTTAGGAGCCGAGAAGAAAGTGAAGGGCCGGACCGGGTGGCCGCAGCAGGTCTGGGCTCTGGAGCTCAACCAGTGACCCCCCCCCCCCTCCCTCCCCTCTCCCTCCTCCTACGAGACTCATATCAGATAAAAAACCACTGACTGACTGAACCCAAACACACCGCTGTGCACAAAAAGGGAGCGAATGAAAGGACAACATGAAGACAAGGTGAACGCAGGAGGACAACAACATCACGGACTCTTTGTTGATCTTCTTTCCTCCTCGTGAGGCTTCAAACAGCTCGCGCAGATCTGCCTGTATGTGTGTTTGATATTCGTGGTATTCATGCGCCCCTCGGTACTGTACACCAGATGTTTCCACGGTGCAAAAACACATCTGTCTCCTCTAAAAAACTAAAAAAAAAAGTGTTTTATCTGGCGTCGAAAGGCCTTGTTTTCAGAACTTGATGGAGCAGAAAATTGATAAACTATCAAACTAAACGTGGAGTGAAAGTAGAGCAGGGACAGGAAAGTGTTTTGACTCTTTAATGTTGGAACAGAAAAACTGGGAGAGCAGATTATTAAAGACATGATACTAAAATAAGATGAATACAGTGATTTATTGATTTAAAGTTGATTCCACTGATTCGTTGCAGCTTTGACGCCAAATCATCGTAAAGATATTTTTTTGATCCTGCAGAGGCTTCCTGGGAAATGCATTTTGTTTGTGGGAGGAAATCTTTGATTTTGGCAAAATCTTTTTATGTTTTATTATTTTGTTTTATTACTTTCTTCATGTAGGTTACAGCCTTTAAATAAATACTTTAAAGTAAAAAGACAGCTCATATAGTCTGGATTTTGATCTTAGCGGAACATTCTCTGTTTATGTGACAAGAAACACCTTGATAAATTCCATTTTACATATCGATCCCAGATGAAACACTTTTTTTAATAATTGTTTAGCAGGGACGCTTGTTTACGTCACCGTCTCCTCCCGCTGACTCCCGCTAAACCCATCACCATGACAACGCAGTGTTACTGACCCGTCAACCTGTATACCTGCTCGGCTGTTGTTGACGTTTTCTTGTAGGAAATTATTGAAAATTGTTCTGAATCTACCTCAAATGAAAAGTCACTGTCCGCTCCGAGGAGACGAACAGACTGAGACATGAATGTTATACACACACACACACACACACACACACACACACACACACACACACACACACACACACACACACACACACACACACACACACGTGTTTAAAACTAAAGAGGGATTTAATTGTTACTGTACAGTGGATGTGAAGTGAAATATAGCTCCGTAAATAAATGAATTATTTTAAAACACCAAACCTGTTGTGAGTTTTTTCTTTAATGTGATTTCTGTGAGGGGAATTTACGGATCCCCTGAAGGCCAAAAGTAAAATAAAATGTTTTATCTTGTAAGCCTATGGATGATTATCTCTTGTGCGCTTAAGATAGGTATAATTGTTTTAGTTGTTGGCCTTCAGGGGCTCCGTAGAAATTACAGAGATAACCTAACGTTCAGGTTTTTTTTTTTAGATTAAACTGAGAGGTTGTAGCCTGTGAGAAGAGCAGCCATCCGCCCATCCGTGATGAGAGGAGAACTCTTCAAGCTTTTTTCCTTCCTCCAAGTCAGTGTGGTTATTTCCTCTGAAAAGCAACTGTTTCTTCTATCTTCTCAGGGTCCTGATCTATTTTAACAATGTGATGATGATGATGATGATGATGATGATGTTCCAAAAGCATGTGTAGCCTAGTTTCATATCTGCGTAATTAAAGGCCCAACACAACTATCTGTGAAACCTTTACTAAAACAAGATGCTCCATGTTTGTCTTTTTGGAACATGCTGCTGCTCTTCAGTTATAGACTAAATTAACGACTTTATACTCCTAAATTAATAATATATAATAATAATAATAATAATACATCAGTTTGTTACATTAGTTTATTTAGTGGGGAAATGAGGAGTATACACTACACCACTGGGAATAACACACATGATTCAAGAACGCTGAGATGAGACACAAACACAAAGAGTGCAGAGACACAGACTCCTTTGAAGGTCATCATTAAGTTTGAGTGATAAACTAATTACCTGAAAACTTTCCTACATTTCATCTTCTGTTACTGCAAATTGATCCGAACATGCTCGAGGAACTGAAAGTTAATACTTGTAAATAAATGTTTTATTCTTTTCTTTATTCAATTTGCCCTCACCTGCACGCTCCTCTTCTTCTTCGTGTCTTATTCTACTGATCAAATGTTTCTCATATTTTTTTAAATCATAAAAACGATTATTTATTAAAACAGGAAGTATCTCATTTGTACCTCCATGTCTTCAAAAATATTCAAACCTTTAACTTTAACAGTGGGTTGTTTTAATTTGAAGAAAGAAGACCCGGATGTTCGTTTAATTTATACTATTCACTTGCAGCTCATCGGAGAATTACTCAAAGACAGGAAACACTCTTTTATTCTCTTAACTTTATTTTCCATTAACTCTAACATGAAGGTCTCGTGAGTGAAGTGTGCAACCTTCATGGCTTCATGTGACGTAGTAAAAGTTCTTTAAATAAATGGAGTTTAAGATTTAAAATGAGACTCGTTCATCAGCTCAGAGACCCTCAGTGAGCTCCAGCCGTCCTCTCTAGACCAGGGTTTGTCAAAGTGGGGGTCCTGACCCCTCGGGGAGGTCGCCAGCAGGCACTAAGGAGGTCACGGAAACTTGGAGGGAACAGGGAAATGAAATGGGACGACAATAAAAATCAACTAATGGCTTTATTCATGACGTTTAATAATGAATACACGTCCCTTTGGATGTTACTGATCACTACTTATTGAATCCTGTGTCCCTTTTCTAAAACGATATTTGATTGGCTGGTGGATTGAACTCGTCTAATCTTTAATCCCATCCCCTGTTCATTCATCTTTAGTGAATAAATCAGTGTAGACCTCATTGAATCCTCACCTGTGTAAATAATGAATACCGTAAAACTTCTAATAAAAGCTCATCCCAGTTTAAGGCTCCGTGTTTGTTCCTGTAGCCTGGTGCTGCTGCATGTGTGGACAGATAAAGGCAGCTCTCTCTCAGAGGCCCCGATGCATTTCAGTGTTGAAATCATTTGTGGATTAAACAAGGAGACAAAGCAGCAAGACACCAAAAATAAAGATGAACTACAACATCTGTCTAAAGACGGTTTCACAACTCCTGAAAATATCTAGATCATTTCAGGAGATTCTCCTGACCTGTCAGAGGCTAAAGCTGCAAAGGGGGTCCTTAGGGGGGTAAATGGTGACCTAAAAATAAGTTTGACTGTAAGGAAATCATTGCACCCTCATTTGATTGAATATTGGACGGTTTCCTTTAATGTAAAAGTCTCAAGGTGTTTTACACCGAGTCGCTCTGTGCTGCTGCTGCTGCTGCAACAAACAAGAGGAGCGACAGTGACACCTAGTGGCCGAATGCTGTTACTGAAACAACAAAACATTATGCCTGCTCTGCTGTTCTTTTTTCCGATCATTTCTTCTTTAGAATTCACTGTAAAGTGAATACACTGGTCTCATATATTTTGTAATGAAGATTAATGTTTATTTAAAGATCAGATTTCATTCAGAAAGCATCACAAAGTGCTTCACAGGAGCAAACAAGCCACCATCTCAGGGATTGTAACATCTTCTAAGGAAAGCTTGAACTAGTTTGTCTGAGTCGAGTGTGACAGAAAGGAGAGAAGTTTCTGAAGGAACGATCATCGTCATCTTAATGTTTGTGTAATGTTTCCAGAGGTCGATGGAAACTGAACTGAGGGGGGGGATGTGATTTGTTGACTTTTTGTTTTGACCCTACAATCATGAATTCTCTTTAATTAAAGTCAACATGATATGAAAAATACATGTTCCCTGTTTAAATCCAGCGTTCCTGTTACATGTCCATTTATCTGACAAATATATTTAAATAAAGCCTCATCTGAATATTTTACATGTTTTTTTCTCTTCCTGTAAAATGTCTGATGACTCATTCTGCACTCAGGGTCGTTTACTCATTCTATGACCAATTAAAAAAGCTTTCGATCCAATCAAATTCATCCTAACCTTAAGTCCCGCCTTCTATCTTGTGATTGGTTCTATCCTGTGTCAGTTGGAAATACCTATATTCTTTCCTGCTTGTCATTCCCCGCTCTCTGTCTCTCTCCAGTTTCTGACTCTATCCACTGTCCTGTCTCCAAAATAAAGGCATCAAAAATCTTTTTTTAAAAATGAACGCCTGCTCAAGCTCCACAACCCAGGGATGACTTCCAGAAGGTGCCTATCCTGACGTCACACTCGTCATCACATGGCGGGTAAAAGACGATTCCTTTATGTGTAGATACTTTAGATGAATTCCTGTATTGCACGTCAACATGTTGCTCAAATATAACTTAAGAGAGACATTAAACACTTCTTTGTATCATCCTCTGAAAACACAGGAGAACACTGAAGTCAGAAGAACGATTTTCTTACCTGGAAACCCGGACTATCTGAGGAGCACCTGAATGCAGCACAGGGCATGACACAGAATTCTCTCCAAGTTCTGTTTCACAGGACTTTAAGAAATCAGAAGTTCATTCTTACAAACAGCTGAAAAACAATCTGAGGTCGGAGAGAAAAACAAACGGACTCGACAGTTGTTGCTTCCTGTACAACACATTTATTATAATCATCATTAGGAGCAATAAGCGGCCATCTTTAAATATGTTCTTTTCTTCTAATACATCAATTAGGTTAATGCGGCGTGGCCTATCTGTTAATAAAGTTGGGTGTTATCTACATGACGCTAACAAAACCTACAAGCAAAACTGAAAATATAACAGACGATACAAAAAGAAAAAAGAACCCTGTTAAAAAGTCGACCGAGTCGGGGTGGCGGACAAACTGACAAAGTCTGTGAGAGAGAGGAGGCAGAGTGTGTGTGTGTGTGTGTGTGTGTGAGAGGACGCAGAGTGTGTGTGTGACAGAGGACGCAGAGTGTGTGTGTGTACAAGACTGATTATAGTGCACACACACACATAAATCCAAAAAGATGCAAAACCAAAAGTTGTTCTTTTTGTGTGCATGTTTCAGCGATGCATTATTTTGGACTTTCAGCTTCGAGCAGTCGGACTCGGGCTCCATGTAACTGATAAAATAAAAGCGTCCGATCCCCGATGTAAACGCCATCTCTGCTTCCATTTGTCTCTGCTTCAAGTCACAAAGAAACGTTATGATGTCAGACTGTTAACCTCAGAAGCAGTTCACACAGAACCCTCAGAATAATAAATAAAAGAATTCATTTTTCTTCCCCACAAAGAACATAAACCACTTCAGGAGTCAGATGTCGAGACGTGAACGGTCAATTTCTGTGACTTTGGGCGCTGAATGAGATTCACGTTGGACTTTTTAAGACTTCAAGACGGCGATACAAACAGACGCCATCGGCCATAAAAATGTAAAAATACTTTAAAGAGCTCGCTAGGGGACGTTCAATAAAATGTGATTTTTGGAGGGAGAGCATCTTGGGAAATGTAGTTTTTAACTGACTGATGGTTCAAAGGAAAAAAAGCTTAACAGTGAGCAGGGCAGCATGTTCACAGATGTGACCCGATCACACACACACACACACACACACACACACACACACACACACACACACACACACACACACACACACACACACACACACACACACACACACACACACACACACACACACACACACACACACACACACACACACACACACACACACACACACACACACACACACACACACACACACACACACACACACACACACACACACAAGTTCCCCGCACACAAACGGAGGAAATCAAAGAGATGCGACTTTTTACAACTTAAGGCTGAACTAAAGAAAAAGGTAGAAATCTGGACTACAAAGAAAAAATGAAAGAAGCTACGAGTGTGTTCAAACGTACGTAAAACAGCTAGCGAGGGTGGAAAGAGCGGGTCATGGCCGAGTGCTACATGGTTCACCAGCATCAGTCTTTGAATGCATCACGCCCGGTTTGGAAACGAGCGACTGAGAAGATTACACTTTGTTTTTAAATATCATTGAGAATAAAAAGGTCTTTCTTTGAATCCTGATTCTGACGTGCTAAATGCAGCAGAAGGCGCCGCCCTCTTCCCAACAATTCATTCACTCGCTATAAAACCGAAACAGTCGATTATCATTCAGGTACAAAACACATTTCCGTTTTGGCACAAGCATCCCTCGCGCTGAAAAATGTTAACAGTCAAACCGGCAAAAGAAAAATCCCCAAAATCCCTAAAACACGTTTTCGTCTTCTTCCCTCTTAAGGCAGCCGTTTTGTCCATTGCATTCAAACACAGATTGGACACTTTTCTTTTGTACATATCGACAGTAACATTACAGCGTGGCGACCTAGAGCCCTGCGGAGGGAGTCCCGCTACTCGACAGTCTTTAGAGGTTTTTCCCCGTGGAGGAGAGGATGAGGAGGCGTGGTGGGGGGGTGGGGAGGCGTGGTGGGGGGGCGTGGTGGGGGGGCAGGTTTAATCCTTCCCTCCCTGAATGCTCCTCCATGTGAGTTAAACGTCCTCTACGGGACAGCATGAGTTTGTTTCAGGGGTGTTTGGGAGGACGGGAGCAGTGACAGGGTGCAGGAGGAGCTGGTTTTGGTTGTTGTAACTGTTAGTGGAGTCCAGGTTTTGGTGAATTGCTGTTTTGTCTCCATTTCTGTTGGCGTGTGTGTTGGAGCTACTGCTGCTGTGGGTGCTGTTGATAAGTTTAGTCCAGAGGTTTTCCGCCATCGCCCTTCTGGTCCAAGCGGCTCTTGCTGCTCTTCACCATGTAAATAAAATAGGTCAGCGTCTCCTTCTCGTTCACTGGAATATTCCTGAAGTGACGACTCACCGTCTGCAGAGGAGGAGAAAAAAAAAAAATGGAGTTTAAGTCTTAATATATGATTTTTTGATCCAGCAGATGTCGCCCTTAAAACCAAAACAACTTGTGCTGCATTGTTGTGTTAGCATGCTAATGCTAGCGATCTTTATTCTGCTGGTATCTTCACACTGCATGTAAATTTAGCTGAAATGAGCGTGATCTAGAAACACAGTTAAGCAGTGAGTACAGTATGTTATTCTTCTTTTCTCTAGTCCCTCAATTAAACAACTTTTATACACGAGGGGAGGAGTCAGCCGGCCGTCCGGGCGATGTAAACAAAGTGAAGACAGGACTCTGAAAACTCTGAAAACATCACAGACAGTGGGACTCGGGTGTTACACCCATTGTAGACAGTCATGACTCACAGAGTTATTTTCAGAGGATAGACTTGATTTCTACATTTAAAGGTTAAAAATGGGGCGCGCTGGTGGCACAAGTCCCATGTGTTGAGACTCTCGTCTCGAGCGATAGGCCTGGGTTCACTTCCACCCGTGGCCTCTTTCCGCAAGTCATTCCCAACTCTCTCTCCCTGGTTTCCGACTCTATCCACGGTCCTATCTCTGCAAAAAAAGCCCCAAAAAAATAAAAAACCCAACTGAAGATTTAAAAAAAAAAAGTCTGAAAAATCACATAGAAAGCCTTTAAAAAGGGACACACGTTGCGTTTTCACACATGCACAAAACTCCTGAAAACTTCCTGAAACTTTTGGAGGTCAGCTGCAGTAACTCTGACTTTCCTCTTAAATCTGTCAGCCATGTAGTCAAATGTTCATGTGAAGTCAGGGTGAGCTGATGTCAAAACACAACAGGAAATATTCAGGAGGGAGGGGGAGATGACATTTATAATCCTGCAAGCAGCGCATGACCAGAGACAGAATGACTCGTGTGCAAACGATGCTATCCCAAAGAAATGTTGACAAAACAGCGTGCACACATCAGAAAAGGCGTTGTACACATTGTCGTCTATGTCTGCACACTTTGCTAAACACACCTGTTAACACGAGGGCATTTTTGTAAGCTGTGTTACAAAGCGTCTTTTTAACCACGTGGCACTGTGCTCTGTGAGAGATGATGAACTGTTCCTGATCACCACCATGTTCTCTCAGTTACACAGTAAAAAAAGGAAATGCAATATGAAATAGTTTAGAAAGCAGCTGCAGGATTGTTAGAAACACAACATGAACTCTGTGCACACTGAGAAGTGAAAAAGTCAGCTGTGAGACTTTTAACAGAAACTAAGAGGGGAGAACACATCACTACTGTTTTAACGACATCACACTGGTTTAACATTTATTTTAAAGCACTTCACGCTCTGGCCCCAGAATACATATGTGCAGTGCTGTCCCCTTATCAGCACAGTCTGCAGCCTGAGATCCTCCAACAGAAACCTCCTCACTGTTCAGAATCTCCTTTTAAATCACTCATAAAGACTTCTCTTTATCAGAAGACCTTCTTGTAATACGTGGTGTTTTACTGATTTGATTTCTAAGTTCTGTAAAGCGCTTTGTGACGTTGGTTTTGAGTGCTTCATAAATAAACTTTCTCATAATTAGAAGTGACTCTAAAGGAACGAACAGATACACATAATCATCATGGAGACACTTTTATGAATCTAATTTGTAAATGAACCTTTAAGAGAAAAAAGCTAACATGCTCAGAGCAGCGTGTCACTGGTTCTGGTGAACATACTGGGACAGCTGTAACTGGTTGAGGGCTGTTGACTGGTGCTTTATTAATGATGTGGGAGGCTCATTCATACGAGGGCCTGAACCTGACTAATAGCCCGGGGAAACATTCAACTTACAGCCCAGTCTCATTCATTCACTCATTCGTTCCCCCCCCCCCGCGCCAAAGACTGACTGGGACCTCTACACACAGGGGATGTGATTGTAAGGATGTGGGTCAGGCCAGCTGCACTAAGTCCACCTGTTGAAAGAGGAAATTAGTCTAACAATCTCTCCTTGACCAATTAGTGCGAAGTAAGACCTCCGACACTACGTATATCACAGAAAACGAGGGACATGGAGCCGAGGGCAGAGAAGAAAGAGCCGGGTACGTCTAATGAGGGGAAGCTCTGTGCCGCACGGTACGAACGACTGGACTGCTGATTCAAATGTCTTAAAAAGAAAAAAAGTCATGCTGCTTCAAAGCTACTGAATAGAGATTGGTGAGAAGAGGAAAACGAGGTACATGAGTTTACATTTTTAGGTGTTACTTTAGTTTCTAATCTGAGGTTTGACAGATGTGAAGAAGTTCTGCAACACACAAGAGGTCAGACATTATAAACCTCTGAAGGCAGCACAGCAGTTCATGCACGCCATGATTTTATCCTCATTTAAATAATGTGTCGTTGTTTGGGTGCAAGCCGAGCAGACAACAGTCACACACCTGTCAGGTCTTTATATAAACAGGCACTGAGAATACTGGATCAGAAATCAGGCTGACTGCATCACTGCTTCATTCTAAAGAAACACAACATACTGAGTTTCTTTTAATTCATTTTATAAATCTGATTTGAGGAAATTTAAACGACCTCGCTCCAGAAACAATCTGTCAGCTGGTAAAGAAACCAGAACGAGGGCGACATTGGGTGTAAGCTTTAACTACATGTGGTCAGACTATTTTTTAAAAAGTGTGCGCACATTTACCATCAGTGCCCCGTACTCGCATCACCTCACAGCGTTCTTGAGCTTTCAAGTAACATCAACTGAGACTGAAGCCAGTTTGCATGCAGGTGATACACAGATTGACCATGCTAAGTACTCTACAGCTCCACACAGACTGTCAGGATCGTACACACTCACACAACTGAAATAACTGGAATGGTTAAGGTAAGAGCGCCCGGGTAGAGAGTGCAGGAGGAGTCTTCAGTAATGGTGTGTGTTTCTGAGATTATATCACTGCATCATGTATGAGGACAACATGTTAGTGCTACGTCAGGTGAGCACTAACGAGTCTAAACCAGTGTGCATGTCTGACTGTGTGTGTACGTGGTGCTTCCGCAATGTGAATTCACAGACTGGGACACCAATATTACACCGGAGCAGAATCAGACATGATGACGGCTGAGCATATTCACAACACTTCTGTGGAAAAGCAGTCTGAAAGGGTCTAAAACTGTCATTCAATGAAGTCGTACACAAGTGGGAGCATTAAAGTTTCCACAAACCTCACCCTGATTATTTCCAAGACTACATGAACTCCGAGAGCAGAGATCAGGAACACAACCAGAGAGCTCTTACCTCTGCCAGCTGGGCCTTGTTGAGTCCTGGTCTGGTCTGCAGCTTGTAATGTCTCTTGTAACGTCTCAATGTGTTCACCTGCAGCTGGAAAAGGTCGACCTGAAGGAACAACAGAGAAATGGAGTCGGTGAGTGAACAGTGAGGGAGGCTTTGTTTTCATCCTCCCCTCCATGTTGGATGCATTTTAATGATTCACTCGAGGACTCCCAGAGGTGTTCGTCTCTTTTTCAGCTTTTAAAGGAGATGGAAGTTTAATGTTCACCATGAGAATTAAAATGGGTCACTGAAGTAATAAAAAGTAAAAATGTTTTCTCAACTTCAGCTATCGTGCATATTTACAAAGACGTGTATCGCTTCTCAGCTGATTAATGTGCACTTTCCTTATTCAATAAATTAAATCATCTACCGTGAAGTATGTGTTGAACATTATGAATAATGTTTCAGGCCACATTACCTCAGGCACCTCCACATCGTGATCCGGGGACTCTCCTCCATCGTCGCTGGTCTTCCTCTTTCTCTTGTTGCGGACGCTCTGGATAAAGTTCTTATGGAAGTCGCAGATGTAGAGGTGTCGCACCTGGAAAGAGAACGACGAGTATGAAAGGAGAAGTCTGCGGTGCACAACACATCTCCACAGTTTAACAATCAAAGGCATCAGTGTCTTCTCATCTACTCATCTTCAGCATTAATATGATATATTATGGTGGCTTTTCTAAATTCTTGAATACAGGTTTTAAAATACAAGACTTTTAGTACCAACACCAGATGATACTGTAAATAGTTTGACAGCTCTTCCACCAAACTTAAATTCTTTGCTTTAGTAAACACAACTTCTTAAATGACCTTTGTACTTGGTGGAGCATCGACTAAAACGCAGCTGAGATTTGCAGTTTTTCTTTTCTGTAATGTCAATAAGTGATCGACAGAAGCTTTCTTCAGCGTAGTGTCGTCTCAGCTAAATGAAACATCATCTGTATCTTCCTCTGAACTCATTTCTCTTGGCTTCACTCACAACATGTAAACAAACATTCAGCAGTCCCAACATTGCTGGAGAAAAAAACACTTGTTAGCAAACCGCATAACGCCCACTTAAATCAACTGAGCTGTTTTGTTTGATTAAGAAGCCAAACAATGCTTTCTAGGAATCTGAGAGCCGATGAAAAGGCTGTGAGTACAACAGGGACGTACAGCAGCTGAAGCTTATTCATTCAGCATGCCTTCTCCTGCAGAAGACACGGCTGTGTGCATGAGGACCCTTACAGACCCCTGGAGAGTCTTATTCTACTCTTCCATTTAGTGCATTGTGTCTGCATCCAGTTGTCTTTAGTATTCATCAGGTACAAGCCGCACAGCAGGAATGTCCCCCCGCCCCCCGCCACGGACTCGCTGTGTCTTTGTGTGGTGACTTCATTTATACAAAATGCACCTTTAAAAAGAACGCAGACTGAGTAAGAAAACTAACTGAACTGTGACATTTACATCGATCTATAAGGGCAGATTTAGAAAACAAATGACAGAGACTAACGAGGACGTTAACTTTAACATGACGGGTGTTTGTCAACACAGTTAGTTTCCGTGACAACAGTCATTTTATGAAGATTAGCAATGTTGTGTTTAAGGAAACCGTGGAAATGAGAGAAGGCTGAAGATGCTCTTCATTCAAGTGGTGTCGAAATAACCGGGAAAAATGAGATTCCAGCTGAAGAAAATTGACGTGAGAGTCCTCTCAGGTTGGAATACCAACCTTCATCACTAAGCTGAAACATGGCAGCTGAAAGTGAATGTTGAGTCCATGTAAACAAACCTTTTTCTTACTAGCCGATTGCAAATCAAATGTGGTTCATTTAAAGTTTGCACGAGGATGTTCAGTTGCTGTCCATCTAAAGTTACCTCGAGGTAATAATACACAACATGTGTTATTTGAAGCATAAAAGTCATTGTCATAATAAAGTGCAGCACTGGTTTGGGAAGGACTCTGTTGTCCTGCACGTCGTCATGGCAACCAAGACCCAGCCGAGAATACTGATATGACTGCAGAGACATATAGATCCTTCAATGCAGCGCAATATGGATAGATTAAACTCTGACTCGTTCTAAGCAGAGTCATAGCTGCACAGTGTAAATCAGAAGGAGTCTGAAAAGGAGGGACGATAAAGTGCACTTTACTTTTACTCCATGTAATTACAGAACAGTTCTGTTTATTTAAAAAACAGTGCAATGGTGAAACGAAGCTGAAGATGTTTATGGTCTTTTTAAAAAGTGTTGTGGCAGCAGAAAGTGACCATGTGGTATTTTGACTCCCTCACTTATAATTAGAATTTTGATCACGGAAATATGAGTTCAGTCTCTGAATATAAACTTTAAATGCCCCATTTGGACTTTAAAGGTCTCATTTGACCCCCCCTCCATATTTATGACTTTAAGCCACAGAGTTAAAGTCAAACCCTCCCAGTGACCCTCCTCCAGCCTGAACCCTGCCTCAGCTCATCACAGCTCAGTACTCACACTCTTGTCGATGTCCAGCTTGAGCTTCTTCTGGGAGATGCTCTTCTGGATCCTCTTGCTGAAGGAGGCGTTTCCAGCCGAGCGGCCGCAGCGCTCCCCGTCCTCGATCAGACAGCAGCTCTGCCCGTAGAACGGAGGAGCAGGAGGTCCGTCGTGGCTGTCCTCCTCCGTGCTGAACCCATTCATCCTGGGACAGTGGACGGCTCCGTGTGCGATGAGACAAACACTGAACAGAGCTGCAGAGCTGCTGGAGAGCTGGAGAGCTGCAGAGCTGCAGAGCTGGAGAGAGCTGGAGAGCTGGAGAGCTGCAGAGAGCTGGAGAGCTGGAGAGAGCTGGAGAGCTGGAGAGCTGGAGAGCTGCAGAGCTGGAGAGCTGCAGAGCTGCAGAGCTGGAGAGCTGGAGAGCTGGAGAGCTGCAGAGCTGGAGAGCTGGAGAGCTGGAGAGCTGCAGAGCTGGAGAGCTGGAGAGCTGGAGAGCTGCAGAGCTGGAGAGCTGGAGAGCTGGAGAGCTGGAGAGCTGGAGAGCTGCAGAGCTGCAGAGCTGCAGAGCTGCAGAGCTGGAGAGCTGGAGAGCTGGAGAGCTGGAGAGCTGGAGAGCTGCAGAGCTGCAGAGCTGGAGAGCTGGAGAGCTGCAGAGAGCTGGAGAGCTGCAGAGCTGGAGAGCTGGAGAGCTGCAGAGAGCTGCAGAGCTGCAGAGCTGGAGAGCTGGAGAGCTGCAGAGCTGGAGAGCTGCAGAGAGCTGGAGAGCTGGAGAGCTGCAGAGCTGCAGAGCTGGAGAGAGCTGGACAGCCTCTTGTTGTTGTCGCGCTGCTCAGCTAGCGTTTGCTATGCTAGGCTAAGTGGCTAGCTAGCCTGTGAGCTAACAACCACAGAGGTTTAACACTAACTCAGCAGACTTTCTTCGAAACGGGTCCGCCAGAGGTTGAATAAATGTTCCATGAGATATCAGTCCAACACACAGAACACAAACAACAGCTGAAGCTAACGCAGTGCTACTTTCAGAGCTAGCTGTGGTCGCTAACGAACAGATTCCTCCGGTGAGCCCGTTAACTGACCGTAAACTGACCGTTACGACCTCCACACGACAGTCACTCTAACGACTCAATGCTAAAACGCAACAACCGGCTTCAGCTGACCGAAAACTTTGTAGAAATCACCGTAATTCACAGACTGTAGCTCAACAACCGCGGCACTCTCTCTGAACACCTCGTACAATGGACATGCTCCGTCTCTCTGGCGGAAGTTCCCATCCCAGCCGCTGATTTGCCAATTTGTCCCAAGAGGCGGGCCTAGTGTCCGTATACGCTTTTCTAATTGGCTACAAGCAAAATCAATTTTCCTGTGGCACTTCCTGTTTCTGTGTCATGTTTTCGACGATGAAGAGCAGTTAAAAGGGTGGCCTTCCTCCGTCGACATTTAAAATGGATTTAAACACAGAAGAAACTTCGTGGTAGTAAAAATAACACGTGATTTGTACGTATAATTAAGACGTTTTAAAAATGTACGTCTTAGTTTGAACACCTGTTAAAAAAACTGCTGCGCATGTATCCACGGGAAACCCACTTTGAACCAGTCGTGACGTCACACTTAAAGCTCGAAACGTCATCATATTTTGATGAAGAATTTAAAGGTGCACTCTGTAGATTTGGTGGTGAAATTTGAAAGTTGGAGAAGTGAAACAGTTCTATTGTGTATTTTCTGAACTGAATCCTTCAAACAGTGATCCAGGATCAGGATGTATAGAGTTCTGAACATCTGTGAATTCCTCCAGCTTATACATTTCTCTAACTCCAAAATGCACCTCTAAATATTTTTGAGGTTAAATATATCTTCACAAATGTAGATATGCTGCTTGGAGTCATTTGTGAAA